CATTATGTTCCTCCTCTCTTGTTGTGATTAATGATATATGTGTGTTTATTTTATTCTTTCTTTAATACTTCTAAGTGATTGGCCACCATTTAAATGTTGGGTTCATTTAATTGATGCTTGAAAGGGCTAGGTTGAGTGTAGAATTTACGTAAAATAGTGCAAGAACTTAATATTTACATGTTGAATGGATGGTTTTGTTAGTAAAATAGAGATATCCATGCTAGCCTTGCATAGCCACAATAGGGTTGGTTTTTAAAATTGAGTTTTATTAATTGTAACAAGAGATTGAGCAATTAATTTAACTAGACACTTGTTCATGATTTGAGAGAGTTTGTCCAAGTATTTTTAGAACTCTAAGTTAGTACTTATTTTCATTAAAAGCATTTAGAGAGGAGGTAATTTTAATGTTATAAAATGTAAGGATAATAAATAATCCTAGGTCTCAATTTATGTTTGAAGTTTGTGAATAATTACTTTTCTTTATTTTTTAGTATTAGTTTAGTTTACAAAATCAACTTTTTCCTAATTATGTTTGGCTCAACTTAGTTAAACTCACTTAGTCTTTTACTTAATCATAATTTTGAAATAAATTCTCAAGAAAATGATACTTTACTCATCTTATATTACTTACTATGATTTGTGCACTTGCGGTAAGCAACAACATACTTATATAATTATATCATCATTATCATCATCATCACATCACATATCATCACATTTTTCATTCCAATATATGCATATATTCATAGTTTTGAAAGTCACTTTGAATTCAACTCCTCATTTTAAGACAAAACACAATTATGCATATTCACAATTTATTCAATCATCAAGGTTTAAAGCATGCTTCCACATTTACAATTCAACCATACATGCAAATATGCACATTTTTACATTAAAACTCTATTAACATATAACTATCCAAAATAGAGTTCTCTTAATTACCTTAAACTTTAAGAGTTCAAAGATTTATTTCTCAATATAGGCTTCCAAGTTTGCTTTTTGAAGCCAAAATGGTGCTTAAACGATTAATCTACAATTAATCAAGTTTAGATTCATTAACATTGTCAAATACACACTTTCAACTCTTATTTTCTACTTCTAAAATATCTAATATCCTTATTTCTCACCTTTAAGCCTACCCATTAGGTTTATTAACTCTCTATAGCTCTCAATGACTTTATTAAACTCTCAAATCATCATTAATGGTTTCCAATAAACTCCAACTCCCTCATTTATTCAAAATTTTCAGGCATTAATGTCCTCCCAACTATTAAACTTGTAAACTCATAAATCTTAGGTTTATATACCTCAAACAATTTCCATTAACTCTATTCAAGTTAATGAGTTTGGACCTATAACTCAAATGGTCCTAAAATCACTTTCCTCATTCAAACCTACTCAAATCTTTAAGAAAACGGAAGAGAAATAGAGAGTAGGGCTTGGGGAACATACCTCAAGTGGTTGGAAGTTTCAAACTCTCTCAAATCCTTTCTAAGATTGTGCTCTACCAGAGCTCTCTTTGTTTTCTTTGTTCTTATTTTCTTGCCCTCTATTTTCTAACCTTGATTCATGTCTTATTTTTGTAGAACGTGTACCATGCGCTGCGACATGAGATATAGAGGAGATTATTTCTATGTTCTAGCTCTGTGCGCTGCAGTGCACCATGCACACTCCACGGCATATGGTACAGAGGCCTTCTTCCTTTAGCTTTTCACTTTTTTAAGGCCCAAGTGACCTTATTTCACTTTAAACCTAAATTTATGGTTGAAATCACATCAAAAACACTCATTAGTCCCCTCTGACTACATATCATATAATTACCACTTATTTATGCTTAATTACTTAATTGTCAGAAGTTTAATTTTCGGGATGTTATACAATGCCAATCTTATATTCTCCTGATACCTCTGATATAAAACTAGTGGTTATTTAGTGGGATTCGTCTTAAGAGCAAAATTGAGATGTATATCTTCAATTCTGTGCATTTATCTAGAGCTTTGTCACTAAGCAGACTATTGGAAGCTAGCCTTATTGGAGGCCTTAGAAGGCACCTTTGAGTAACCTACTTCACAATAGGGCAAGCTACTCTAATTTCAAACTAATTCTAGGCAAGGTTAAAACAAAGATCTCAGGGTGGAAAGGTAAATTGTTAGCATTTGCGGGTAGATCAATACTTATAAAGTCTACCCTTATGATAATTCTAAACTATCATACGCAAACAATGCTCCTTCTCAAAAAAATATTGTAGGAAATTGAGAAGGAAAGTAACTCTTTTCTATTGGGTAGTCATGATTGTGAAAAGAATATTCATCTTGTCTTGTGGGATACTGTTAAATGCACGAAAAGAGTTTGGTGGATTGGGATTCAATGTTTACAAACACAAAATCAAGCTTCTATCTTCAAGTTATGTTGGAATTTAGTTACAAATATGAGGCTTTATGGGTGAAAATTTTAAGATCTAAATACAAGTGTGGAGACAATGAAGTGCCATTAATTGTGAAAAGGAAAAATTCTTCTAAAACATGGAAAAGCATCGTCAAGGTTTGGGATAAATTCAAAAAAGGGCTTGACAAAAGTTGTCATCCAAATAAACACTCAAAATTTTGGTATGAAAATGATCCACTAATTAAGTTTGTCAGAAACAGAATCCCTCCTGTGGATATTGAAGGTACTATTGAAGATTTCATTACACCTAGTGGTGCATGAGACATAAATAAAATGGCGAATTGGCTCTACTTCTCCATTATTGGTAAAATCACTAGCACTGGCTTACCCATTGTCTTGAGAGAGAGTGAAAATTTTGTATAGAAGCCATCTACTGATGGATCTTTTTACATTAAATCCACATATAATTTTCTTTTTCCAGGTATAGGCATTAATAGAGATAATCTCTAGACTAAAATCTAGAGATAGAACCTTTTAGAAAAGATGAAAAATTTCCTTTGGCTTTTCAGGAGAAATAGAGTGCACACTACAAAACTAAGAGAATAGTGATTTCAAGTTTATGTCCGTTTGGTTGCAACAAGGAGGAAAGAACTATGCATATTGTTTGTGATTGTAAATTTGCATGTGATGCTTGGAGACAAATCATCAAACCGGAATATTGGAGCAACTTCATGTAGCAGCAATGTCTCAAATAGATCAGATGGATTTCTAAAAATGAACCTAACTGTGAATCTTCAAAAATGGTACTTGGCCAACTACCTTCGCTTACTTATCTTGGGAACTGTGGACCACCAGATGTACAAATATGTTTGGAGATAAGGAACCCATTTTGAAGGTTGGTGCAAACAAATGCATTTTGAAGGCCATGACTAATTTAGCCTGCTTAGTAAAGTAAACTTGCACAAGACACCCCAAAACAAAATTACTAGTTGGCACCTTTCGAAGAAGGGTTTTGTTAGGATGGATGTTGATGGGTTTGTTTATGCTGATAGAACAGCCACCTGCGGTGGTAATCAATAGGAATTGGTCTGTAACAATTAATTTTGTTCATAGAGATGTTGTCAATACTGCCAATTGCCTAGCTGGGAAAGCTCAGTTTGTTAAAAGTTTTTTTGCATTTTTGATGATGATGATGAATGACTCTCTTTGTAATTTGTAGTTTGTTTTCTTTGTATTTTTACTTATGAATGCATTTCAGTTTCCATGCCAAACTTTTTTAACTTCAATTCCTGCCGTTTTCGTTTCAACTCATCTTTTGACTATGAACCAAAGCTTATTCCTTAACCCAATGTCTAAAAGATACCACGGACAGTGATTTGATGGTCATCTACGTTGTAGTCACTATTAATTTAATAGTGGTTAGTATTAATCTCCCAAACGGTCTACCTTCAAACTACATTAAAAAATTTTGTTTGCCTTTATTTTTGCCAACAGTCAAATAATTTGTTTGAACTCTAAAATCTGATTTTCCCTACGTTCAAACCCAATTCCATCTCGATTAAAAAAAATTAGCAATTGATTTGGACTGCTTCTAGAAGGCTATGAAAAATTATCAAAGACGTCCTTTTCGCAGGCATCCGCCAAATTAACTAACTTCCATGTATTTTTTTTTTAAATATATGATTAAAGAGTAGTTACCATATTCTATAATGAGTTTGAAATTTAAATTTCACCCAGTGGCGTTCTCCTTCGAATTCTACCAACTTTAGGTTATTCGATTAAATTAAAACATATAATAAAAAGACTTGAGCTTTTTATCGTCATTAATAATCTCAATAATGATTAGTTTAGGGATGAAATATATTCAGAGAATATCAACAAGAATCTGAACCCAACCGAAAGACCGCTTGCTGTTAAAGCAATATTCTCAATCAAGCCCCCTCAAGTGCGTACCCCACAAGGCAAATCAACCCAATGGCTCAAACAGTTGAGGCGGTCACTTGCACCCACAGATTATTTCAAAGCTCAATTAATTCCGATAATCACCATCGCATCACCTTTTCTATTTTCCTTTATTTTGTTTTTCATCAATTCAAGATTTGGACTTTTGGACAATGAACAGAATTGGGAGAGTCATTCAATCCCTTCTCATTCAAGCCTGCTGGGGAATCATTTTCTATCAAGTGGGTCATCACTCAATAAATCTTATCTGGTTTGGATAGTTCTGTTGTTCAATCAGTCATTTTCAGTTTCGGTGACTTCATGTCATTAACACATATCTTAGTTTAGTTAAAAAGAACTTGTTTAGTATATTAGATTCCTAGAGGCTAATCGATCTATCCAGTCCCTTTTACCGGAGAGACGTAAGCCGAAGGAAGAAGAAGCCTTCTTGACATTAACTCTCATCAAATGCCTATAAGAACTAGCTCAATCTGACACAGGAAAACACAACAGGAGAGAAGAAACAATCAGCTTGCTTTTATCTAACTCTCTCTCCAGCACGAAAGGTCGTTACTAGAACTCATCAATCAATTGTTTGATAAAATTTGTACTTTCCGTGGATCCTTTGAGAACCTCCTAAACAAACAGAAAATTAAAACTCTGGTTCACACGCAAGATCAAACAGCCAAGAGCTGGCAAGCCGTGACTTAATTAACAAGACCACAGAGATGAAAAGCTAAACCAGTACATAATTTTAACTAGGTAACAAGCGAATCCCATAGAATTTTATTTTACAGACAAAAGCAGCAAAACCATGTCGAAAAGAAAAGCATCATCTTGGGTGTACTACGTTTGATGAAGGCACTTAATCCATGCTCAAGAGGCCATCAGGGTAAGTACCATAGGTAATGTGAGCTCTAGCAATAGGACCACTTCTTACTGACGCAGAAATCGCCTCGTTCCAATCGGTCGCATGCTCCATCGCTCGCTTAATCCTCTGCCATTAACAGCCACTGTCAGTTAAATACCCAACACTGAATTATGATTACAATCCTACACCCAATTACAGATAAAATTTACAGACAGTATGTCCTGAGAAAGCGGTGACCTTGTCATCAGTGTAGAAGTTGAAGACATTCTGTTGGTTTTGATGGTGTCTGTTCTTTTGTTGGGTTCCGAGGAACAGAACACAGATTGAAGCAGCAGTGACACCGAAAGTACAGATAGCTCCTATCCCTGTGAGGCTCCATTTCCACAAGTTAAATCCACCGTTCTTATCTTCCTCCTTGTCACTATCACCCATTTCTCTCCCAAACTTCAACTCATCGCTGTTAATTGGGTTCATTGTATTGTCGACGAATTCATTTTCCTTCGTTTCGAAGGAAACCTGCGCGAGTGAAGCTGCTTGTTGCTCGGCTTTCACTTCATCGGGGTTCTTGCTGATTCCTTTCACTGTCTGAACGTCGATGGCGTTCTCAATCTTAGGTTCCAGAGGAATCGGAACAGGAACGACCTGGTCAGGTGGTGTGATCTTCCGAACACTTGGTGAAGGGCATAGAATGTAATCGGAATCGAGGGAATTCTTGGAATCGGAATTTGGCTTGTCCTGAGGAATAATTCTCTTGGGGAGATTGTGATTGAGATCAAAGCAGGGATCATCAGAGAGGAATTCCCAGTCGTGGAGATCCATGTGGCGAAGGAATTTGGGGAAGAAAGAGCGATGATCAGAAGGGGGGTGGATTATTGAACAAAAGATGGAGACTTTAAGGTGGGAGCTACACGTGGTGATTCAAGAAGACGCCACCATTGGAGAGTGAGCACCTTAAAGCTCTTGGAATCATGATCCTTCGACTTTGCGTATCCCAAACATAAATAGGAACTCAGTTCTTATCATCATCATTCATCAAACACCTCGGTCTATTGTAAATAAACAAATATAAAATTTAGAATAAATATATTTATTTTCTTTTATTTTATTTTAATTAAAAATTTTTTTTTTTATTTTAAAAAATCATACAAACCTTTTATAAAGTCAATAGTTATAAAAACAAAAATTTTTTTATTTTAAAAATTTTATTTTCAACTTCCTAGTTTACCACTTTTAAATATAAATATTACATGAAAATAATTTAAAATGTCAAAAAATTAATGCATATATTTTTTAAATTTTTATTCATATTTTCTTATTTTTTTAAAAAAATAAAAACATAAGTTAGTTAAGATAATATTTCAAACACACATGTTCAAACAAAACATAACTACATAGATATTTCTTCTAAGGCACTTTTTAGGAATTTAATATTAAAAAATATAAAATATTTTTAATATTTTAAGGTGTAATCAATATATATTTTTTTTTAAAGTACTCTTAATAAATAGATCACTTTATCTTTATTTTAAAGTAAAACATATTATTAAATATGAGTAAATATAAGAAATAGTATTAGTTTGAAAATAACTAATTATTTTATTGGGGAGTGATGTTTGATTAAAAATGTCATATATTTTTAAAAAATTAATCATGTAGTTTTTGTAGTTTTAATTTAATTGTAATTCAATCGTTAAACTTTAATTCATTATAATTCAGTCTCTGATGTTTTGACTCAATTATAAATTAATTATTAAATTTTATTTTTTGCAATTTAGTGTCTGAGGTATCAACCTCTTACATATTATTCCCGATATTTTTAAAAATAAAATTATAAAAATTAAAAATATTTTAAAATTTATTAAAAATATTTAAATTATTAAACCCTTTTAATTTTTATAAATATTAAAAGTTTAAAATATTTGCAGTCATTATATTTTTTTTAAAATATAGAGATCAATACTTAAGAGGTTAAAATTTTATGGACTAAATTATAAGATGTAAAATTCAGGGACTGATTTATAATCAGGTTAAAACTTTAAAGATTGAATTATAATTAGACAAAGTTAATGAATTGAGTTACAACTAAATTAAAACTACAAGGGCCAAATGATTAATTTTTTATATATTTTTTAACAGAGAAATTATATAATATAACAAGAATAAATTAGTTAAAATAATTTATACTTATTTTTTGTAAATTTTATCAATTTCAAAAAATATTTTTAAATTATTTATTTAAATATTGTCATAATTAATTATTTAAACTTCATTAAATCAGGAGAGAGAATATGCAATTCAATTATAAGAGCAATTTAATAATTGTAAATTTTTCAACATAATTAAAAGGAAAAATTTAAATATTTTATAATATTTAACTGAATATTTTTAATGATTAAAAATTGGATTGAAGTGTACGTTTTGTAAACAACATAGAGACTCTATAGTTTTAGTAACATTAAAGGAAGTCATAGTATTTTACTCTAAAATTTATTATACAACCATATAGCAATAAAATGTTATTTACACAAAATAGTACTTCTTCTATTTAAAAATATAAGACATTTTTAATCGAATCTCACCTTTCAATAAAGAAATTACCTACTTTTTAATTAATTTTATTTTTTATATTTATCCCTATTAAATACTCTACAATAAATATAAAGTCATTATAAATAGGGGCACTTTTGAAAAAAATAATGATTACACTTCAAAAGACTAAAATTGTCTTATATTTTTAAACATCCTACTCCTCCAAAAATGTCTCATATTTTTGAATGAAGAGAGTATAAATTGGTGTTTTAGTCAACTGGAGAAGACTTTGCACATACCATAATATAAAAAAAATGTATTATATAAAAGTTGTTGTAATTGATAAGGATTTGGTCTATAATTCATAAAATCTTGAGTTCAATCTTGCTCCTAATATAAAAAATTGTGATTCTATATTAGTGAGTGATTTATAATCTGTATAAGCATTTTTTAAATCAAAAAACATATCCTAACCTTAAGCGGGACATCAGACTCGACTTATCTAAACATTGTGAGTTGTATGTAAACTTGATATAAATTTTATATTTTGTACTGAATATTGATTTTAAAAAATATAGAAAATCTTATTACGCAACTCCTGGTCTTTGCATGAATAATAAATAGAATCAATTGTTAAATAACTCATTTGAAATTTAATTTTTAATTTTATTGAATTGATTTTTATTGGCGATTTTGACTTCAGTCACGTTTAAGCCATGCATTCATATCTCTTGTCCAAAATAAAACATGTTTTCGGATAATGCAGAGTAATTTTGTATCTGTCCATCACAAGTATCTAGTATTCGCTTTAAGTTTTAACCAACATCACGGTCATCTAGATAAAGTTAAACTGATTCAGCTATTTGTTTGAACAAAGTAATTAAAAAAAAATCCTATTCCACAAAGGTGTTGTTTTAAATATTGTTACCAATAAGCGAGCTTCGTTTTGTTGATAAATCATTAATATGTTTTGGACCCAATTTATCTTCACAACCAAACTTATCTGAGCCTTTTCTTTCTTTCTTTGTTTGTTTTTTTAATTTTAAATCCTCACGGTGAACATGCAATGGGTTCGTGTTATGTTGCCAGGATCCCATGATGAAACATATTGCACTTATCACCGCCAAAGGAAAGAAAATGAAAGGCAAATTAACCACGGTTCTATAAAAATTATACTACAAATGAAAACCTGACTTTTAACAAACTAAGTTTCAAAATTTTTTTTCCCTGACACTTTGTACTGAAATTAGTTTGTGTCGGGCAGATTTCAATACAATCATATAAAATAAAATAAAATGAAAAATTATTTAGGAGCTTTGAAATCTTCTCTTCTTTTTCTTCTTGTTTTTTTTTTTCCATAGAGAATTTGATATTCTAAGTTTACCTCACATAGAGTTAGAGGTGGTAATTTAGACTAAATCTAATGAAACAATTAAAATAAGTCCAAAAAAAAAATCTTAAAATTGATTAGGAGTTTAAAAAATTTTTAACTTATTTGGAGCAATTCAAATAAACTTGAAGAAATTTTGGGCCAACCTAAATGAGCTTTATGTGAATATTTACATTTTTTTTAATAAAAAATATGAAATTGACATTCACTTTAACTTTCACTTACCTTTTATAAATCCTTGTCCAGACTTTCAGTCCGCACATTTTGTACTACCAAATGAAAGTAACATTTACCACTTTCAAAAAATATTTAAAACAAATAATTTTTAAAATATTAAAACTTCAAATTAGAAGTGCAAATATGCAAATTGAAAGTCTGGGAGAGGGTTCATGAGGGCTAAGTGAAAGTTAAGATGAATGTTAATTTCATATTATTATTAATAAAAAAGAATTTGGGTAATTGGACAAAACATATTTAGATTTAATTTTATTTAAGTTATCCAAATAAATTTGAAATAAAAAATATAAACTCTTAAACATAGTCTTAAAATTTTTTTAAGTTTATTTAGGTTGACTGAAATTATCAACTTTAAATTAACATGAGATAGAGTCAAACTACCAGTGCTCTAAGAAAAAAAAAAGAAGAAGAAGAAGAAGAAAGAATAAAATTCTTGAACAGTTTTTTATTTTATTTTACATGACAGTATTGAAATTGGTATGATAAAATTTCAATATAAATTGTCAGAAAAGAGAAATTTTAAAACTTAATTTGATAGAAATCAAATTTCATTTGTATTTATAGTAAAATAATTTTTATTTTTAAAATTTACAGATTTTAGTTTGTTGTTTTTTTTTTTTGGGGTATGGTATCGTGGTGAATTTGCCAAAAAGAAAAGATTCTTTTGCTACTGTTATGCTGAAGGCTGAAATGATGATGATGGGACGGAGATAAGAATTAAGCTGAAATGAAAAGCAAATATATTTTATTTTATTAAAAATATTAAATGATCAGTAGACAGGTGTCCAGGGACCACGGGTTGCTATCTTTAATCTTTATTCCTGCCTCTCCGAT